CTGGCCACAGAACGAGGCCAGATCTAGCAGGCAGGCAGGCAGGCAGGCACAGTAGTGGTGGCGGCACCATCCTCTTCGCGTCAGTGGCCGTCCCTATCATTGCCGCCCGGCTCGGTTCTACTCACTGCGTAGCCACGTTGAGATGTGCTGGCCGTCCTGCTGGAGACGCTCCTGGCCATTGGCGAACAGGTCGATGATCGTGTCTAGTGTCGTGCGCGTGTGCATGCGTTAAGCGACTAACTACTCGTCGATGCATCGGATGGACAGGCGTGCGCGCATAAAGGATACAGGTCAGCACGTCGTAGCCGAACCGGCTAAGGTATTTGAACGCATCGGTGACACTCTGCGTCATGTTGTCGTATGTCCTGAGCTGGAACATCACCGCCCGGAAGGCGATCGTCGGCGCGGCATGGGATGCCTTGGCCAGGCGACGTCCGCTTTCCTTGACAGTTTCCGAGGAGATGCGCCTGGCGACCATGATGTTAGGCATCGATGGTGGCACATTGCTGCTGCTGCTGCTGCTGCCGCTGCTACTTACTGCATAATGTCCTTCACCGCCGACTCGGTCTTGGCCCGCGCGAGAATGAGGCCCCACATGCACGCCGGCTCCTTTGTCGCCTTGGCCAGTCGTGTGTTCTCGCCGTAGCGGATGGTCCACTCGCCGTACATGCCAAACCTGCAAGCATCATCACCATCATTCGCATTAAGCATACAGTGCCGCCCATTATCCTATGCCTGCCATCATTACCTTTGCTCGTAGCTATACTGCTCCAGCAGTAGCCATAACTCGTGCAGCACCGCTAACATGGACACGCATGCGCAGGTCAGCGAGCAATCGCGCACCTTCCCCTCTCCTCTTCGTCGCTTACCTGGATTGGCACGCATGCAGGAGATGGCCGGCAGCAGGTATTCCCGTATGATGTGCATCCACGTGTTCTTCTTGCGTATGCGTCGCTCGTCGTCATCATCGCTCTGCATGCTATGCTCGGATGCTGGCTGCGACGCAAGATCATGCACGGCAATGCGGCATAGCTTGGCGAGCAGGGCGGGACATTTGCTTAGGCCGAGGTGCAGCAGGCTGAGGTAGCGCCGTAGTCCACGCATGCACGAGCCGTCCTCCTCGCCCGGCTGCAATCGATGCTCGTCGAGACGATCGGCCCATGGCGTGTAGAAGAAGACGCTATTGCCCGTCGCCAGGATGTCCCATGTGTAGTCGGGTCGCCCGGCGGGCACGATCCTCCGGTAGGGCACGGGGCGCACGGGCGCATAGAGTGGCTCAATGAGGTGGTCGACAATGCGACCGAGGCTAAGAGCCACATTGGCACGAATGGCCGGCAGGTACGGATGCAGCGCGAGTAGCCGCGTGGCACCATGAAGCTCGCCTATCGCCAGCAGTGCGGCACACAGGTCCGCCCGCTGATGGGGCGCAGGATGAACGGTGCCTGCGGCGGTGGATGCCGTGGCGGTGGATGCCGTGCCATTGCTGCCGGCAGCTGTTGACGCGGTGGCTGTGGCTAAGGATGCCGCACCACCAGCCATCGACGATGTCATTGTCGTCGACATGAGATGGCTCGTGCTGCCGGGCATATCATCGACCAAGGCACCAGCATTCTAGTAAAGCAAGCCATCATTCATTAGCCATCACTATCAACGGTGCAAATATAATTATGATTATTGCTTACCGCCAATACATTCAGGCGTGCATTGCGCAGCCCATCAATCTTATCCTGCAGGTAGCGTTTATACTCGTCCTTCGTGTCCTCCATCGTCGGTGTCAACTAGCACGTGCCCGTTAGTGGTGGTCATAGTCGCACATGCACCGGCCATGCAGCGACCTACATGAGGCAATAGCTCGTCCACAGACATGAATCCCTCGCGGATGAGCAGTGCCGCGGCAAAGGTGATCTCCTCGGGCGTGCGCGTCGGTCGATCCGGATGCTCCTGCTGCCACCGGCTGTAGTAGGCGAACTTTTGGCCCATAAGCTGCGCAAACACATTGACCATCACCGCCTGGCCCGGTGCCGCGGGTGGCTGGCCGGTGACGTTGGTGGGACGCTCGCGCGTCTCGTACCAGGGCGAGGCGCGCAGCAGCGTCAGAAAGTAGGCATGGTAGCGCAGCAGATTATACGCGAATATGTCGAGCACAATATCAAGCACACGATTGGGATCGAGATCAAAGTAGCCTATCAGCGATTGCAGGCGCAGCAGCGTGTCCTTGGCCTGCTGCTCGAGCACCGCCGTCGACGCGCCGTTCTTGGGCATATCCCGCACAAGCTCGGTGACCAGCTTCGCGTAGCCCTCCGACTCCTCGCGCAGCAGGTTGAACTTTTGCTGCTTGTAGATCATCTTGGTGCGGCGGCGAATGCACTCGGTCTCGAACGCTTTGGCGGGGAAGCGTGGCAGGGCGCGGCTCAGCAGGTCGATGCCGAATCGCTCCTGCATCATCGGCTCGGTCAGGAGGCCCTGGCCCTTGAGCATGGTGATCAGCTGGACAAGGGCCGCCCAGCGCTTCTTCTTCGTCTCCTCGCTCGGCTCCATCTCGTCGATCTCCGCGTCGGCCACCCAGATCGCATCGACCAGAAGCGCCTCAATATTAGGTAAGGGCGGCAGTGAAGGTGGCGTCGCGGTTACCGCTGTTGCCGCTGTTGCATCGTCGCCATGGCCATTGTGCAACGACTGCATGAGGGCGAGGTTCGATTGCGCCGTCGAGTGGACCTCGGCGATGCTGCGGCGCACGCGATCGAGCACCAGTGCCACGGTCATGCCGTTGACGCCGTGATGATGCTGCAGGTCGGTGACCGCCTGGACGACCTCGAACACGCACGATTCCTCGCCCTGCAGTAGCTCGCGCGCCATAAAGTTGTGCAGCTGCGCGCGCTGCTTCTCATCGCCCAGATCCATGGCGGCCACCGCGGCAGCGTCCAAGATCGGCCCGTCGTACGCAAGATCGGTGGAGAGGACCGCCGACATCGTGCAGATACACACTAGATAGGAACAAACACCCTTCGCTGAGGCGGCCAATAGGTTGCATTCACTCGGATTCCCAGTCGGCAAGATGAATGAACAGCTATTGGCGGTAGATCAAGAAGAGGAGGAAGGGAACAGAGAGTATAGAGGTAGAGACGTGCAAGAGTGTAACAAACAACAAACAGACCAATCTCTCTACACGCTTCCACCATGGATGTATTAGTTGTGTCTACTCGTTCCTCGCCTACATCATATCCAAACTGCCTTCGCCTCACACATCCCAACGAATAAACATCGGATAGAGATGTATTGCCAATGGCAAGCTATGCAAGCAGCAAGTGAAGCAGCATGGCGATGCTGATAGTTACTGTTGCTGTTGTTGTTGGACGAGCATGGTCTCAATGGCCATTGCCGCTATGACGTGCTATGATGCTACGCTCTGTGGTCAGGTTGACTCTGGCTGTATCTCTTGTTCCTCGCTCACTCACATCCTTCCTTCTATTCCTCGTATTCTTCCAGCTCATCATCCTGCTTGCTCGCTCCCCTCCTTTATCTATCTCTCCTGTTACTGCTGCTTGGCTGCTCTGTATCAGCAAACAACATCGACACACTTGCACAAACACACACTGCCCGCCTCATCTGACCGACTGGCGCACTTGTCCGCGGCACTTCCTGCTACTGTCAATATGAACGTCCAGAATCTCTTCCATAGCGTGCGCGAATACCTGAATCCCGTGCTGAAGGAGTCAAAGTTTCGAGAGACCGGCGTGCTTACGCCCGAAGAGGTGAGCTATGAAGGCGGCGGCCATCGTGTCGACGCTAGCTTACCGCTACTCGTCTCCTCCGTAGTTCGTGGCCGCGGGCGACTTTCTCGTCTACAAATGTCCCACTTGGCAATGGTCAGCTGGTTGCCATGCCTGCGTATCCACGAGCTCACCATCCTGTCGCCCCATAGGTCATCGGGGCTGACGTCGAAGCGACGGGACTACCTGCCGGCCGATAAGCAATTCCTAATAACCCGCAACGGTAGGCAGCCTAAACGAGCAAGCGAGGAAGGAAGAGACTGCTAACCAATGAATGGCTATTCGCGGCCAGTGCCATGTGTCAAGCGCGCCAAGGACATGGAGTATGTGGGCGACGACGAGAAGGAGATTTTTGATATCATGGCCGGCGACGGCGACGATGCCAACGAGGACGGCGAAGGCTGGCTCGCCACACACACGAGTCAAGAGGCGGCGGCGAAGCACGCGACGGCAGAAGGCCAGTCACAGAACGACAATGCATCGACAACGCGCGAGATCCGTGACATTGACGACGAAGAGGAGGAAGGGGAGGAAGGGGAGGAGGCAGCAGCATCGCTGGCCGCCACGCTAAAGGCGGTCAATCTGTCGGGCACGGCCGCCGAGGACGCCGAGGACGACTTTGACGACTGCGCCATCGAGGAGGACGACGATCCGGCGGCGCTGAAGCAGGGCGATGTCAGCGAGGACAACATCCTGCGCACGCGCACCTACGATCTCAGCATCACCTACGACAAATACTACCAGACGCCGCGTGTCTGGCTATTCGGCTACGACGAGCAGCGACGCCCGCTCACGGCGGCCCAGATCTTCGAGGACATCTCGCAGGAGCACGCGCGCAAAACGGTCACCATCGATCCGCATCCGCACATGGACATATCGCTGGCGTCCGTGCATCCCTGCAAGCACGCGGAGGTCATGCGGCGCATCATAGAGCGCACGGCGGAAAGCGGCGTCGAGCTGCGCGTCGACTACTACATGATCATCTTTCTCAAGTTCCTCTCGGCCATCCTCCCGACCATCGACTATGACTACACGATGGCCATGGAAGGCTAGTTGCCGCCATGAGGCAGCGCGACATGCATTATGATTGTCAGTTCATTCTACACGCACACTTAGTCGTGCCAATAAACACAACGAATGTACCTATACTGTGCCGCATTACCTAATGGCGCATGCCGCCAGCCTATGCAAAACAAAACAGCATACATGCCAGAAGAAGCAAAAAGCGAAAGCCCAATGCGGGGCTCGAACCCGCAACCTTGAGATTAAGAGTCTCACGCTCTACCGATTGAGCTAACCGGGCTGGATGATTTTTTCGTTCATTTTGTCTACGCGACCGGTCTTTTGCTTATTTTGCCAGTTGGCGCCGCGGAATGCACGGAGCAGCATGCACGCATGCCATAGAGCGTAGCACATGCTGCTCCGTGGATGACTGGCGGCGATGGTGGGGCGCCAAAGAGTGTGCTTGTCAAGAGTATACGTGCATATATGCGCACAGCAAATAAAGCATGCGTTAATATGTGCGCACATCATGGGTGGCGCTGCTTACCGGCTAGCCATTGCGGATGGCGGTGGCAGCTAGCTATGACGCGCAAGCACAAAGGCCTATGTGTTACAGCATGGTGGCCATGGTGACAGTCGTGCAAGCAATGGCGGCTGACAGATATGCGCGCAAGTAATACAGAAGGGGAAAGAAATGGTTTATTCTCGCTGCTCGCCCATGTACTCCGTGAGGGCGGCCATTTGTGGGGTGAATGGCGTTGCTGCTGCCCTACCGGATGCTGTGGCCACGGCTGAACCATCCATGCCGGCCTGCGGATCTGGCCCCGGCACCGGCATGAATATGACCTTCGTCTGGCCGCTCTTCGACATCTGCGCCATGGTGTCAAGATAGCGGATCTGCATGGCGGCCGGCGTGTTCAAGATCTCGGACGCCTCGCGCATCAGCTTGGCCGCATCAACTGCATGAAGGGGGGGGGACAGCACAAAGAGAATCAGTAAGTATGGCTTGCCGGTGCGCACGATGCTGCCGCCGCCATGACTAACCTTCTGCCTTGGCGGCAATGACCTTCGACTCGCCGACTCGCTTCTGTGTTGCCGCGCTCGACAGCGACTGCTGCAGCTCGCGGCTGAACTGCAGATCCTTGATCAGCGTGTTCTCCACGCGGATGCCCCACGACGCCGCCGGCTCCTCCAGCATGGCGCCCAGCGACTGGCCGATGCTCTCGCGGTTCTCGATACAGTCTTGGAGCGAGCGGCCGCCCAGAATGGCGCGGAGGCTTGTCTGTGCGCGCTCCAGCAGCGCCTTCTCGAGCTCGGCAACGCCATAGGTGGCGCGGTAGACGTCCACGATGTGCCAGTAGACGACGCAGTCGATCGTGATGTACACGTTGTCCTTGGTCATAATGGAGATGTCCTGGATCGAGGTGATCTGCATCTTGACGTCGACGCGATGGATAGACTCGCTAATGGGGTTGACGTTGACCAGGCCGGGATCCACCGTCTTGTAGTATTTGCCGTATCGCTCGACCAGCCCGACGGATCCTACACAGGCGCCGGTAAGCATGGCCGCCGAGATTGCGCGACGTCTGGCAATGACCCACCTTGGTGCACTTCCTTGTACGGGTTGGGGCAGAGAATGCAGCACGGAATCTGCGTGCGGCGTAAGTAAAGGGCGGTCTAGCATGCGCGCTGCCGCTGCCGCCTTCCACCTACCGAACCAAGCAGGCCGATAACCGAGCCAAGGGCGTGCATGATATGCGCTGTATGCGCATGGCGAGCGGTATATTAGCGTGTTGCCAGAAGTGCACGCGCGCCTCTGTGTGTATGCGTGTGTGCGTGTCCACTCACCGTAGCCGGACTGCTCGCCGAGTGGGACCTCCTGCGCAAACGACGCCTGCATGCTGCCCTGTGCAGGCGGCTGCACGGTAATCACGTCCGTGGGCGGTAGCGAAGCATTATTATAGTTGCTGTTGTCCATGACGTGCTGCAGATAGTGAGATACACAATAGAAGGAGCAATGACACTCGTGCTATGGAATGCTAGAGCGTTTGGATAATGAGGCAGGGATTGGTGCGAATGTAGTGGAGGTGTAGGCTTTCGCAAGCTGTATGCGAAATGCTTTATACTGGAGCGCCAAAGGCAGGCGGCAATGTTCCTGTACGAATATGGCCAGGCGGAGGTTTCTCAGCCATGCGCATGATGTCAGTGGCTGCCCTTCAAGCGAAAGGCGACCATGTATGGAAGGGAAGACAGAACGCGCAGCCCGACCGCCATTCCTGGACATAGCAGATTCCATGGCAATTCAAACAGGCCTTTACGGCTGCGCTCGTGCTATTGCGATTCTCCACTCGCAAAAAGTGTGCAGCGACACTATGACTGCTGCCCCACGAGTAGCATGGCCATTGGCGATGCGGGCAGGCTGACGACCAATGGCAGATACCATGGATGCACAACCAGTTTTCGCGATCACGTTCTAGCCTGCCGATTATGTCGCTGATTTCTTGGCGGAGTCTAGCGTCTATTGGCGTGGCATGTCTTGGCGAAATGTGCTGTTCTGCATTGAGCAAGCAATACACGGATACATTGTGCCGATGAGTGACATCACTGCTGCATTGGCATGAGTATCTACCAGTATAGTGCATTCCATTGAACATATGATGAATACATGGCATGTATGTATGTGCAATGGTGCATGCTTGGTGTGTGTCTTGTGCTGCATGGCCAGTGATTGCGTCGCCATATCAGTGACGCGTGTGCAGCAATTGCCTATTGCTACCACTCGTGTGCTTACTCCTGTGTAGTGCATACGTGCAAGTGGCTGTGGTGCATGTATGGTGTATGTGACGATGACTAACATGCTGCACTGCAACTAGA